AAATTTTATTATAGTAGAAAGCTAATTATAAAACAAAGAAGATGAGAGAAGAAAATAATTTTGAGAAAAAGGAAAGAACATATCAATTAATTCCAATTTAGTTTATTTCATTGGTCTTCAATTTTTCACTGAAAAATCACTATAATTTGAAATCAACACCAGAGAGAAAAAGCTAATTACAAAACAAAGAATATGAAAGAAAAAAATAATTTTGAGAAGAAAGAAAGGACATGTCAATTAATTCCAATTTAGTTTATTTCATTGGTCTTCAATTTTTCACTGAAAAATCACTATAATTTAAAATGAACTCCAAAGAGAAAAAGCTAATTATAAAACAAAGAAGATGAGAGAAGAAAATAATCTTGAGAAGAAGGAAAGAACATGTCAATTAATTTCAATTTAGTTTTATTGGTCTTCAATTTTTCATTAAAAAATCACTATAATTTAAAATCAACACCAGAAAGAAAAAGCTAATTATAAAACAAAGAAGATGAAGGAAGAAAATAATTTTGAGAAGAAGGAAAGAACGTGTCAATTAATTTCAATTCAATTTATTTAAAATCAATAATTTAAAATCAACACCAGAGAGAAAAAGCTAATTACAAAACAAAGAAGATGAAAGAAGAAAATAATTTTGAGAAGAAGGAAAGAACATGTCAATTAATTCCAATTTAGTTTATTTCATTGGTCTTCAATTTTTCACTGAAAAATCACTATAATTTGAAATCAACACCAGAGAGAAAAAGCTAATTACAAAACAAAGAATATGAAAGAAAAAAATAATTTTGAGAAGAAAGAAAGGACATGTCAATTAATTCCAATTTAGTTTATTTCATTGGTCTTCAATTTTTCACTGAAAAATCACTATGATTTAAAATCAACACCAGAGAGGAAAAGCTAATTACAAAAGAAGATGAGAGAAGAAAATAATTTTGACTAATTCCAATTCAATTTACTTTACAGATATTGAATCATGTGTTATTCTTCGCTGAAATATCACTATGTTCTGCTCTAAATTACAAGCTATCCTTCCCTCCAATTGGAAAGCATAAGTGGTCGCGCGAACACGCTCGGATCAACGCGTATCGTTACTAAGGTTTATGAAACCTTTCGATAGAAGTCGTGTCGACATGTAGGCCAACATTTACGCCGTACAATTGTATATTATCTGCCCGTGAAGAAATAGAAAGTCGCCCGCAAATGATTTCTTCTGCTGTCCGTGGTTTCCGTTTGCGTTCTGGTTCGATGCGTTGTTTATAAAAAAAAAAAAAAAAAAAAAAAAAAAAAAAAAAAAAAAAAAAAAAA